TGATAGACAATGAATCAGTGTAGATGAAATGGAGCAGGGCCTTGAAAACATCAGGCTGAATGTCTTTGATGGGTAAGACCTGTGCCCCCGCCTCCCTCATCGGGCCAAAGAGCTCCGCCTTGAAGACCGGTGATCGCATCGCGAGCACGACCTTGTGCGCCGCAAAGGTATCCTCCCCGACATAGAATGTGACATCGGCCGCCTCCTTCGATTCCAGCAGCTTGCCAAGATGCGCCGCGATGTCTGACGGCGGCACCGCGACTTTGGGGGAAGATTTGGTCTGAGACACCCGTGGCTCTTTCATGACAGTGACAACACACTCGATGTCGAGGCGATCGTCGCGGAGATACGCCGATGCCTCGACCAATTAGCCAATGAAGCAAAACTACTGGAATCATAGCAGCTTAACACTTTGGGCAATGTCTTTGTCACTGAAGTAGACAGGCCGGTGGTGTGGTCGAGCAGCCTCAGGTCGGAGGACGCGTGCACCTCGACACCTCTGTTGAGGAGATCGAGGTAGACGTGGATGTAATCGGAGCTCCCATGGCCGTCGGAGTAGAAGCGGATGGCCTAGTCATGGCCGCCGACGGAGAAGGCGCCGGACCGGACGCACTTGCCGACGCCCATCCCCCTCTTCTGGCTGTACTCGGTGATGCTGAACACGTGGCTTCCCTCCGCCGTCTCCGTGATGCACTTCGACACCGTCTTTGCGCGCGCCATCTGGTGAGGCGGCGGCGGCGAGGGTGGATTGCCGGTGGGGAGGGAATCAAGAAGCAACGGCAACATGTCAGGGTGGGGTGAGAGAAAAAAGAGAAAGCACATTTGGAGCAAGAAGTAGTGGGGAGTGGAGGGGAAGCCATGGGAGCGAGCGAACCTTCGGAGGATGGCCGGAGAATGGGGCGGCGGCGGCGGCGATGACGACGGCGATGAGACCGCAGCGGAGTTGTTTTCGTCTTTTTTTTTTTCGTTTTTACCTCTTTCTGATTATTTTTATCTGACTGATAGATGGGCTTTTTTAAGTGGGCCGGGCTAGGCCCATGGATTTTGAGAACTACTACACCACAGGATTCTGTTTCAACGGGAGATCAATTATAACGCTGACATCACCTCCCCTGCTTCTAGCGCTTCGTCATTCCAATCTCCCATTTCCAACCATGTCATTAAACAATATACTCGTACAGGTCTCCTACGATGTGTGATGCACATATGCCTCGTAAGTATTAGGTACCGTATATGATTCATCTATGTACTGTACATGATACTTAGATATTAGACATACATGTTACCTAAATTCTAAATTCTAGACATGGTACATATGAGTACCAGGTCTAATATTTACTCAGGTAACTGGTCTGGTATCTATATGTATGAGGTCTGATATTTAGATACTGGGCCTGATACTCATGTATCGGATTTGACGCATATAGGTATCGGGTTTCATATCTTTATGTATCGGGTCTGATACTTAGATACCGGATCTGATACTCAGGTACTGGATCTGGTACATATAGGTATCGGACGTGATATCTATATGTATCGGGTCTAATACTCAGGTATTGGATCTGGGTACATATAGGTACCAGGCCTAATATTTATATGTATCGGATCTAATATTTAGATATCGGGTCTGATACGTGATACTCACGTATTGGATCTGATATTTATAGGTATCGAATAAAAAGAAAAAAATAGTGTGTATTACACGATTATTATAATTATGCTAATGCAATTTTTCTGTTCCATACTAAATCTTAAAAGCATCACAACCAAAAATAAAATAAAATTAAAAACAAAGCGAGAAAAAAGGGAAAAAAAGTTTTAAAAAAAGTCACATGAACGGTCCAGGTATAGATGAATTGTAGTTAGGCCAACAGATTCACATGCCCAAACGGTCCACATGGGCCGGAGACCTGTTTGTAAAAATCTTGTGCAAGAAAAGGAAAAACACATGCATAGTGCCGGCACTCTGTGAAAATCATGCGCGCATCGTCTTTCTGATCGAAATAGCGTTTACCATTAGTGACTTAAGTCATCCCGTTCCCACGGAATAGTGTTCTCTATATTTTCTCATGGATTTTTAGGTTGGATTGCTATTTGTGATGCAAAGCGAGATAGAAAAGAAAATCAAAATGTGGTATAAGCCTATAAGGTGGAATTACTTGTATGAATCTAAATTCAGATTTTGTAAAACAGACGGATTCTATAAATTGGTGTGTGGCTACATTGGTAAACACCAATGATCCTATTTTTTTACTCTCACTGAGGTATGTTGTCGGTGTACGGGGCATTGTGTTCATCAGTTGCCTAGTACCTTTATTGTTTTTTTTAGAAACATGGTATAATTTAGGCACTCATATACTCACGCGCATACTCATCCTTATAAACGTGCACACACTCATCGTATCCTTTTGAGCACCTTTGAGAGATTGGGTTTGTGTCATCACATCCACATACGCCTCACTATTCAGTGACGAATCTATTGCCCAGCAACCCCAAGCAGTTGCCCGGGCTCGTCGGTGGATAATCCACTAAAATTTCATATAATTAGGAAAATTGAGATAGAATTTCTATAGTAAATAATAGCTTTAGTGAAGTTAGCCCAGGCTCTAAAATAATTCTAGATTCGCTACAGTCACTATACTATTGATTGGTACATCGCTTATCACTAAAAAGAATAATTAGGTGAATACAAACATCCCCTGCCAAATGAAAAGATTTTCCCTACAGCTAACACATTACTCTCAGTAAAATAGCCAAAACAACAAAATGAGGGGAATAGCCTTTTGGTGACTGCTATACAGTCACTAAATAACTTGTGACGGCTTGCCGTCACCAAATATTGGATTTCGTGACCAATCAAGTGTGATAGGCGTTTTGTGATGGCATACTGTCAACAAAGTTCTTGGGGACGGCATTCTAACTTTTCGTGACAGTAAGGGGTAGTCACCAAAGATCCGATCACTGGTGGTGTACCGGATCTGATGAAGCTGCCGCCCCCCATGCCCTTGTGCCGGCTGTACCCCAGGACCTCCAACACGTGCACGCCTTGCTTTGTCTTCACGGCGGACATCGACTTGGTCCTCCTCGGCACCGCCATGCTTGCCGCTGCAAGAGGGGGAGCATGGTGTTTCAGAAATTGGAGAGGAGGAGGAGGGGAGGAGGGGGAAGTGACGGACCAGACGAACATTGCGGTGATGGCCGCCAGCGGTGGCGGCGGACGAGGAGGAGGAGAAGACGGTGAGGAAGGCAAGGCGACCTATTTGTTTCGAACCTACAAATGCAACGCCCACAAGGCCAGAATGCACAAGTGGCCCAATGGAGTGCTGCTGAAATTCAGTCACATGAAATTACTCATTGTAGAATGTAAGTGTTTTTTTTTCTCTGTTATAGGTGGTTTTTGTTTTATTTTTTAATCTAAATTTGACCTTTCTGCATGCAATTTTGTAAGTTTTTATGAGCTATAAGTTAATTTTCATATAATATATTTAAAATTTGTGTATGTTAGACCCTTTGGAACAAAGGAAGAGGATTGTAAGATTCGTATGGATTGCTTCCCTACATCCCTCCATAAGAAATTTAACATGAGCTCATATCTCATGTTTCATTTTTCCTATGCTAGCTAAGTCCAATGCACATTATCTCTTCCCCCCCCCCTCTCTCTCTTCTCTTCTCTCTCTCTCTCTCTCCCACACACACATAGGATTTCCTGTAAAATTGCTGTGTTTCAATTCTAAATTCTTATGCACCAGCTAACACGATATTACTTCTATTGTTCCTATGTTTTGAGATCATGTAGTATTGCAATCTATTTCCACGTTTTTCCTATTCCGTGTTAAAATCTTGCATTCAAATGTTGAATTATTAGTGCTCACTGGATTGAAAATATTGAAATAGTCCAGCTTTGTTATCAATTATTTTATTTGATCATAAAAGGTCTTACTCTACGTTCTTTCACCATAGTAACGATATATACGAATTGACGTGGTTTGCCCGTCAGGGCACACTTTTGGGTTCCCGCAATATTGAAATCCCGCTGAATAAATACATTCCGCACCACCACTTTCACTTCGGGCACCAACTATTTTTCCACCGCACACACTTTGACTAGTCAGGGCATTTGAGGGGAGAAAAGAAAAGAAAATAACCCATACCACTCACCTCTCTTCCAGATATCTTCTCCAAATCCACCACCATGACCCCCCAAAATCCACCATTGCGAGTGCTCTCACTACAATCTCTGGCTACCCTCCCACCCATCTCCGGCGTTCGTCAACCCTCCACCAACTAGGGTGTCTGTTTCGATATTGGTGGACCGGTGGCGGCTGTCTCCAGCGAGATCTGAGGTTGTAGCCTCCGGTGAGCGCTTGATGTTAAAATAGATAGCACGCATGGATTTCTTATCGTAGCTAAGTAGCAACAGGCAGACACTTTGGTGAATGATCCCATAAACATTTTGGACTGCTGGTTCCTTCAGCCGTCTTGTACTTATCCACATACCAGCGCATGAGGCTTAGCCTTCTGAAAAATATATAGCATATTCTATTCTAATTTTTCCTTTCACAATAATATATAGGATTATTGTGCAGTGGAAGCTTTTTCTATGATAAAGGGAGGATATAATAAAGGCCCAGCTAGCTTTCATCAACAAATTAGCCAGATAACTAGCTTGAACAAAGCAAAGGGGTTTTTTCTTCGAACTAGAGTTATTGCTACAAGAAAGAAAATGTAATTAATATTGGTACGTACTGATGAACATTTTAGATCAAATCCATAATCAATACTACAGCACAGAGTTTCCCAACAGTTGAACAACACAAAACTACTTTTTGTAGATAAAGAAAATGGTTTATCGGCAAAAAAAAACTAAATATTTGATTAAGCAAAAATATTTTGCAGACAACTATGGAGTACTATATTTGTGAATAAGCAAGGATCACCAAACAAAAACATGTTTTGGATTTCATACTAGAAATTTATAATTAAAGAAAGGTACTGTTTGACCACTCTAAGATCAAATCCATTATCAAAAGTACACCAAACATTCATAGCATAAACAAATTATTAAGTACCAGTACATGATTCAGATCATATGCTACAAAGGCACATATATATAAGATTTCGTTCTGTATCATGCAGAATTGCAGATTGACCATGCACCACCCATGAGCTGGTTCAGTTCACCGCAGCGGCACCACCGGCGGCTGGAGGCGGAGGCGGAGGCGGAGAGTCGCCGCCATTGCTATCGCCGCCGTCGTCGTTCTGCTGCTGCTGCAGGTAACGGGATATCAGCTTTGCCCTCAAAGCTTCCATCTTTTCAATCCTAAACCTTATCACCAGCGTCGACCCATGTCCTTCAGAGACAAGCCTGTAGCATTCATCCTCTAGCTCCCTGATACGACCATCAATCCTGCTGATCTGCACATATATATAAGCCATCCATAAAATACCATCACGATCTGCTCATTAACGCATGAACATCTATCACAAGAAATGGATGAAATCGATCCATCAAATCGGAACAAGGATATATATATAAACCTCATGCTCCAGGCGTCTCGGGAGCTGGTCCAGCAGCGGTTGCCGTCGCAGTGGCGGCCTCGGTGGCTGCGGCGGCAGCGGAGGCGGCGCCGCCGGAGCTGCAGCCTGGTTGTTGTTCCCCTGAGGCGCCGCCATGGATTAGAGCTTGCTTGCTAGGGATAGAAGATAAGTTGGGTGGATGAGAGAAGAGGGATCTGTGTTGGGGTGTTCATATAGGACGGAAATCGAGATGGCTGCATTAACTCATGATTGGCTGTCACCACTCGCCAAAAGATAAGCATTAATTGTATTACAAATTTGAGAATCACCAGTCATTATCTTCCTGTTTTGGAATTTATATTTAAATTAGACTTAAAAAAAAATACTCGGAAGTTACAATGGGTAAAGACAATATGAGAGCTTAGTTTCAGTTTACAATGTGTAGGCAATATAAGAGCTTTGAGTTTTATCGAGCGGAACAAGAGCTATTATGGGTTAATTATTAAATTGAAATATTAGGATCGCTATATATACGCTAGCTATAATTTTTCTTTGGTTTTCTTTTTCTACATATACAAATTGCTGCTATTGTAATCAAATCTCATATCGCGTGGGAAACTTATACTATCATAATTGTATTGTGTTTTGTGTGGAAAGCACAATATAGTTGGGAAAGTTGGAAGAGGAACTATCAAAATAGAAAATTACCAGTATCAATGGGTAGCCGATTGATCTATGAATAGCCGATAATTCATGATGGAAACATTGCATAGGAGCACTATACATGCATACGTTTGCAGTTAGTTACTTAGCATAACAACATATATAAAAGCTCTAATTTTGATTGATTTTTAACTAACAATAAGGATGATACTAGAAATTTTTTTAAATCCGATGAGATTAGAAATTAGAATACGGGAAATAAACATATGATCACAAAATAAGTTTTTCCATCTCATCTTATCTGGTGACATCGATGGGATGCAATCTCCAGCGGCGGAAGGGGCATCTCATCTGCATCTCTATCCCCTAATCCCTCATGCCATGTTCGGTTAATCCTCGTGAGGAAAGGATTAGAGTGGATTAATTTTACACCTATTGTGGTGTGGAATTATTTTCCTTCAATCCCCTCCAAACTGAATAAGGCCTTATGGAGAGTACGTAGAAGCTACCATCCAACGGCTGCTGTTAGTTGTCTATACTCTATACCAGCAAATGACACATCATTAATTTGGTTTCAGATTGACAAGCAGCAACCACCAGCTAGATCTGTTACCGAATTAAACAATGGTTGAGGCCCACGATGATCAGGTATTTTTTTCCGAATGACTCGCACCAGATAGTGCGAAGTTTATATTGATAAAGCAGGAAAAAAAAACAAGATTACAACCTTGGGAGGTCATAACCAGGAATGCGAAGAAAAATAACCACCACTCACGCAACAAGCCAACGACAGCACGAACACAAAGACCCCAAGAAGGCTAGCTAGCATCGAACTAAACGCCGCTAAGCATGACCATCCGCCGCTAGGCCAATAAAGGAACTATAACTGAGATCACCCAAAGGAACTACAGACGATGATCAGGTATTTGGATTGAATCTATCCATTGATCTTGCTATCCTTCTCAGTATAGTTCTCCTAATCAGAGTACACGAAGGAAGGCAAAGAAAAATCGGGAATAGACGTACTCGGGAACATGCGCGTGATGCCGGGAAGCAATGTACGAAGAAAAGTAGTTGGAAGTGGATTTTGTGTTTTTTAAGTACTATCTTGATCGGGTGGGCACAATCCTTGTGTGGGATGGACAATAGAATTGGAGCGCTTAAATGAGTGGTGGTATATTCGCAGGTGGCTAGTACATATAATTTGTAAATGCATTTACATAATTACACCGATGGATCTTGACATATATACTCCCTCCTCTCCCTTGAGCCAAACTTATCACATGAGTCTGAAATAATGCTAGTCGACTACATACAAAGAGGAGGATTGGGGAGTGGGGGGCACCATTTGCTCCGCTGTCAAAAAAAAAAACATTTAGGTTGAATATGCATAAAAACAGTTGAAAAAGTTTTGTTACGAATATAATCTCGTAATGCTGCATTCTAACTTATACCGTAGGCATCCATTGAATTGAGCAGGTATTTGCTATGTCCGTCAATTACATAACTCATTAATGATTTTACAATATAATTAAATATAGTTTCAGTACAAACTGAAGTACCAATATTCATTTTGTGGTTATTTATGGGGAAATAAATACTAAGGTCATCATGAAATACACACCTGCACAAATATTGAAAGAATTTACTGCGCACACGTGGGGAAACATATTATACAGTTAGTATGTGTTCAATAATTATGAAGTTATTTTTAGAAACTGAGTATAGTCAGTGCTCGGTTTACCTTGTTTTCGTCGATAGAGCTGGGGACGAAAGAGATGCTAGGTAAGTGAGGTTCACAGTAGTGAGAGTACAGCAGAGAAAAATTAAGCAAAATGCAGAAATTTAGACAATGTGTCTATACTAGATCTCCTGTGTTATAGGTGATTATGCTAAACAGAAAGAGGTGTTTATTTGTCCCAGGGATTCATCAAGTTCTTGCTCCTCAATCTTTCCCGTGATTAATTTTACCTGGCATATTGTTATTTCATTTTGAAAAATTCTTGCATTTCTGTCTACCCTAACCTCCTGTACTGCCACCAAAATGACGATGTATGGAACCCATTCCAGATCCTTGTTTGTTTGTTGTGTAACGAATCTTCCATACCAAAATGCTCCCATACTAAAAAACCAGAGAATATGCAAGTACAATATTATGAAGTTTAACCAATGCAAGAAAATTTTTCATCGAACAAAATAATGCTTTTGATTATTGATACTGGAAATTGAAATCAATTTTGCAACTAAAGAGAGATATAGCAAGGTATACTGCATGACCATTTTGGATCAAATCCATAATAACTACTACAGCACAGAGCACATTAAATAAAGATATATGCCAAGTATTCCATTAAGCAAAATATTTTGTAGAGAATTATGGAGTACAACATTTCTCAGTTTGAAGAAGCAAGTAAGTTTCATCGAACAAAATATATGTTTCAGATTATTACTCATACGAGAAATTTATAGCTAAAGAAGGGTACTGTTTGACCACTCTAAGATCAAACAATCCCCCTGTCGAAACATGAATTCGGCAATAATAAAACGGGGTAGCGCACGAGACCTAAAAGTGGATGGATGTGGAGACAAAGGATTTAGACAGGTTCAGGCCCTCTCAATGAGAGGTAATACCCTACTCCTATTTGGGGATTTGAATCCGCCGGGTGTGTATTGATCTGACGATCAGGTTGTCTCATATATGCCCCCTAGAGGGCCTCCTGCCCACCTTATATAGGATGGGGGGCAGGATTACAAGATAGAAACCTTAACCAATACGGTATCGGTTTCCTAAATCAGGACTTTAGGCCGTTCCGTAATATACAAGGAAACATAACACCCAAGTCATGATCTGTTACATATTACATAGATATAAGTTATCCCCTATAACTAGTCGGATAACCATGCCGTGTGGGTATGGGGTACCCATAATCTCCACAGTAGCCCCTGAGACCTTCACAGTCGGAAAGATAACCTTCTCTCGAACTAGATTACTCCAAAGCCGAGTGCTTCAATCATCTTCGTCATGGTCTCCCGAGTACTTTTACCAAATCTGAAGACTGTGGAGGGCTGAAAAATATAGTCAGGTGCATCGACTAGATGCACCTAATAGGTGTAACCCCCGACTATGTGGTTAATCGAACAAACCAAACATATAGTCAAGGAATAAATAATCCAACCAACCGAGTGGTTTTGATAATTATAGTCAACCAAGCGATTTAATATTAATATGTAGCATATGCGGTGTGAATCCCTGAATAATATGATCCAAGTGATATACCGACTGCTTTGTAAAATATGATGAGTGTAACCTAAAGTTGGCTACATTATTGAAAATTCACATAGCAAAATAGCTATAAAGAAGCTTGTATGTTGTGAATAAAGAAATTTCCAAAGTATTGGGCATACGCCATGCGCACACTGCTTTAACAGACGTGCTTAAGTCCCTAGAAGACACATGGTTCCACCACACCTGGAAATATATGGCATATGTGGTATAAAATCCGAGTAAATAAACTCATAAAGGATTTACCAACCGCCTGAAAAATGACCACAATATATAATCAGCCTAAGCCATAATATTGGTCAATAAAAATGCACACTTACGTGGCAAAAAGCAACGATATTGTATCCAATCAATTGCTTAAAAACCCAAACAGCACCATGACTATATTAAAAAGTCAGCGGGGCAGCTATATAAAGCTTTACTGTTTGACACCTTTTAAGATGCATTGTACCAACTCCTAAAAAGTTGAGTAACTGCGGTATAAAAGGATTTTAAGGTATTGGGCACTTGATCACGCGCACTTTGGCCTAAGCAAAAAGTGCCTAAGTCCCTAAAAGAACGTGACAGGCCACACCTGAAAATATGGGCTGCAGACATATTAGGCCTAGGCAAAAAAATATGCCTTCGATACCCTTTAAAGGATGACGCATATAACATGCTCCCGAGTAACAAATCTTCCGGGTAATATAGACCAAGCGTAGCTCATATGAATAGCTTCTGATCTGAGTGGTTATCCCTTATGGGATACTCCAAAATAGATGTAACAATCGAATCCCGACTGGCGCAAGTATTCAGTTGATAACCCTTACGGGGAATAATAAATAGTCCAGTCTTTGAGCATATAAAATAGACCCATGATCATGAATTCATGTTGCATGTATCCGGAGCAAGTCCAAATTGAAGATATAATACTTGTATTTGAGCTAGTAAGCCCCTGAGCACGTAGTCACAATTGTTCATTGATGGTAGCTGACGCAGTTGGCATAGAGACAAGACAACCAATATAGAGAGAATATTGCCCACCAGAGGTGGCAAAAATATTGGTGGTAGTGAAGATAGTGATACCAATCAAAAGTACTGAAGTCGCATAGCCATGGAGGCGAAGAAACCAGTCGGCAACAGTCAGGTCAGCTAGCAGTGAAGATGTAGGCGCCCAACAACAACGAAAGAACAGTCGGTGGTGACAAAAGCAAACCGACGATGAAGACGTAGACGCGCATCAACGGTGATGGCGAAATCCA